TAGCGAGCTGTAGAGACGATCTTCAGGCTAGCGTACGTGCGAATAATCGTTATCCTAAAAATAATTATATTCGACTTTGTATTTAAATTAATAAGATATTAATTTAAATAATTAATAATACTTACAAAATTATTTGGAACTATTTGAGGTGTTGAAAGACGTTTTCGGTGAGCAAATGGAGTTTTCGGTGGGCTTGGGAGGGTTTTCGGTGTAATAGTGTTTTTGGTGTGTGTTCTTGGTGAAACTATGAAGATTTGAAGGAAACAATGAAGATTTGAATATGGAATGAAAGTTTTTGGTGCTTTCGGTTGAAGTTATGAATATTGGATGAAGATCTTGGTAGAAAACTCTTGAGGATATGAAGATTCTGTTTGACTTTTGAGAGCAAATTTAGGGGTGTTTTCGGTTGAAGAAATGACAAATGAGGTATGTTTTCGCTTGAAACTATATATATAAAGAGGGGTTTTCGGTCTTAATGGACCAAAGCATTGAGTTCTCGGTTGATAAGGAGCCCAAAAGAATAGATTTCAGTCCAAGAAGTAGCCCAAATAGTGAGTTCTCAGTGTAATTTGTGGGACCATCGCAAGTAGATTTCGGTGTTGACCGAAATCTGTTCTTGGTCCGAGGCTAAGTGGGTCCTTCTCATGTTTTCGGATGGAGAAAAGAGGGTTTTCGGTTGGGTGGGGGTCCGATGCGATTGTTCTCGGCCAAAGGGTTTTAAATCCCAAAATTTTATACATTTAAATATTAAGGAATTCCTATACACTTATTTATTAATTTAACCTTATTAAATTAATAACCCAAAAATTTTGACTTTTATTGACCTTGGTTGACTTTTGTTGATTGTAGAATAACGGGTTGTTATAGCTTCTCCTCCTCCTTTATTTCCTTGTTTAGACTTTCCCTTGCCTAAAAGATATACATCATATATGAATATAATATATTTTTTACTCATTTACATACTGTCTTATTGACTTATGAATAAGCAATCTTATTAATATATATATATATATATATATATATAATATATATATATATATATATATTAAGCATTGTAGCATATTCACTTAATAGTGAATCATCCATTTACGTGTCTCATCTCCCTTTCCATTCTCAACTTCTCCTCCTTTGTATGTACACATTCCGAGTTTCCCTTCCCTGCAAGATCAATGTCATATTATATATTAACTATAATTAATTAATGAATTGATGTGTATGTAGATAAATAATAAGTTAATAGTAACATTTCATAAGTTAATTGTAACATTTTTTATATTCATTCATATATGAATAACAAATACATACCGTGAATAACTTGACTGATTGGAGTATTAGTTTTACTTCCATTCATTGCTGACAACTGGTCAAAATTTTAAGAACAATTTTGTTATTGTGTATTAATATTTTTATAAAAAAAGTAAGTAAAAATTTACCTATATCAATATTATCCAAAATAGTTTTCATTTCAGGGTGATTCTAAATTTCGTCTTCTTGACAAATTAAACTTGAAAAATCCAATGTCAAGGACATTGTCCACAAAGTTTTCAACAACTTTATCCAACACATTTTGATTTGTTTCATTTTTGACTAGTCTCTCCGTCATTATTTGTTTCTTCAGTCTCCTCGTTGTTTTTCTCTTCATCATTCTCATTTTTATTGATCGGTCCATCATTATGCTTTGCTTTACTTTCACTTTCCTTTTTCTTTTCATCATTTTCTTTTTTTAATTGTCTCCACATCATTATTTATTCCTTCATTCACGAATTCGTTTCCATCAAGAAAATAATCTACTTCAGATTTAGGTCCATCATTATCATTGTGTTGTTCACCATTTCCCTCTTTATCTTCATTCTTTTTTTCATCATTTTGTAACATCCCAAAAATTGTATGGTAAAAATTTCATTTTTAATTAAACCATTAAAACACCATTTAGTATTACCAATTATTCAAAAGTATATTAATGTAAAAACAGTTATAAGAGTACAATCCCAAAATCACAAAGTTGTGGAAACATGGGGGGATGTAGTGCAGTCACGCCCAACCCTTCTCTTTTGTACCGGAAGTACCTGAAACCATTAAACAATAAACTGTAAGCACAAATCTTAGTGAGTTCCCCTAAAATACCACATATCATACAAACATACATCTAAGCATATCTGGGTGCTTCCAATCCCTTTCGGTTTATTTCAACCGGATACTGTCAAGCATATCTGGGTGCTTTCAATCCCCTTCGGTCTATTTCAACCAGATACTATCAAGCATATCTAGATGCTTGCAGTCCCCTTCGGTTTATTTCAACTGGATACTGTCAAGCATATCTGGGTGCTTGCAGTCCTCTTCGGTCTATTTTAACCGGATATCGGGTGTATTTCACCCTCTACTACTACCATATAATATCATAACAAAGAATCACATATTCATCCAGCAAATACAAGCATAACTGACAGTTGTCACGAAGACAATCATCATACTACATCATGACTAGTGGACCGTCATTGGTGCCTTCGATCCACAAATACAGTGAAGGACACTCACATCACACTACTAAATATCTCAGATAAAACCTCAAACTCCTGATCTGGAAAAATCCATGCGCTAACATCATCAAATAACACCCGATCAATAACTGGTCCACAACCCATAGCTGGAATCCTAGTCCGATTGTCCAACACTCAGGGTAAAGTCCATTTTACCCCTTTCCTTAATTTGCCCAAAATCCGAGACCCAACCAATGGTACCAAAAACCCAATATGGCACAAGTTCCTAAAGGACACCCAAAGCTCCAAATGGGCCCAAACACAACAAGTCCTACTGATAGAAAACTAGGGCCCATATAAGGCCAAAAAGCCTCAAATCACATTTTACGTTGTGACCAGTCCTTGGTCACATCGTGAGAGCTTACTCGATCAGATCCCAACTCACCTCGATTCAACCTAGCCAACTCATTCAAGGAATAACACACGAGCTAACCTCACGACGTGAGCAACCTATCCTCACGTCATGAGCCTCAACAAGCTCATTAGAAATGATACCAAACACTTCTCACGTTGTGAGACCTTGTGTATCACATTGTGAGAACAGCCTGAGGCTAAAAATCCAAGTTTTAAGTCCTTAATCCATTAAGCCTTGTACTCTAACTTTCCAGAAGGTCTTATAACCTCTTAATCCACTAGAAAGTCGGTGCTATTAAGACATATATGTCTAATATATGTCTAGATCTCATTTAGGTCCAAAGTTTGATGAAAAGACATGCAACTTTCAAGTAATGCTCCAAAAACTAAACCATTTTCTAGATCTGAACTCCAAGACATCCCTAAGGCCCTCATAACTCATAAAGTTGCCAACTTTATGATTTCTATTCACTCAACATGCTTAATCAAGAAGAAAAATGGGACAAAACTTAGAACTAGCATTATATAACCATACACATAGGAGCGTTATCACTTACAATGGTCAAGAAACAATGTAAGGTGATGTTGATGATGATTCCTTGCAAGCCACAACACAAGACCACCTTCTTCCTCTTCTATCCTCCTTCCAATCCAAGAAAAGCTCCAAAACCACCAAAGATCAAGCAAGGATGGGCACTAGGGTTTTTCTGAGGTGAAAGAGGGTTTGAGGCTGATAAGAAACCCTAAAATGAGGTTAAAGATGCTTAAATACGAAGGAAACCCTAAGAGATCACGGGCTTAGGCTGCATCGCTCCTCACGTCTTTTGATCTTATTACTCACATCATGAGCTCAGTCCTAGACAAAATCTTCATGCAACCCATCACACGTCGTGTGTTTCTATGTCTCACGTCGTGAGGGTCTTTTTTCTCCAAAATCCTACCTTTTGACTCCTGGAAACCCTAATTCGATTCGTCCTGGAAAAATGGGTGTTAGATATTTCTTTTTTCACCCATAATTGGTGTCAAATTGATACCTTCAAGTCCAATTTCATTACATGGAAATTCAAAAATTTCTATTCATTCAGTTTTATCTTCAACAATTACATTTGTGATATTTTCTTTCAAAAGCCTGAAACTTTCCTTTTCAGGAAACTTGTTATTGCATCATTGAGCTTTGAATTTAGCTTTTCCTTCATCTTCTGAAAACTATTAATTATTTTATATAATTTTGATTGATATGACTCTGTAATAAAAATAAATATAATTAGAAATTAACATAATAAATTAGTGTAATCATATATGATTAACATATTCAAAATAATTAACTCAACAGAATCATCTTCATCTTTATCACGATCGCTATCTTCTAGATCTGTATCTCCTTCAACTTTTTCATTAACAAATTCTTCATTTAATTCTACAAGGCCAAATCTACCTATTTCTTGCTCAAATATCTCTCGATATCTAATCTTCTCTGAACTCCAATAACAAATTGTTGGACATTTACGTGTTACCGTTAGAGCTTCCGAGTGAATTTTATCAGCATATAACAATTGTAGATAACTGTTAATTAATTCATATTCAAAAATGAATTTTTACAAAATATAATATTATTTTTTATAATCATTTATGAATAAGTAATGCAAATCATTACATGTGAACAAGTAGTATTATCTTTTTATTCATATATGAATATGTGTTATTCAGTTATGAATAATTAATATTATTAAAAATTGAATATAAACATTAAAATCTATTCACTTATGAATAACTTACCTCCAAGATAGTTGAAGGTCCAATAAAGTAGTTTGTATCCGAGTATGGTATCTATGAGTTCTTTGTTCTAACGAGATAATCCAAAACATAGCTATACTAGTCTATGTTACTGATATATGTTTTTCTTGAAATATAAATCAAAGGGAATAGCTTGCATCTTCCCATTGATGTTGACTCACAAAATGTATTGACAAAGAGAACTAAGAAGTTAAATTTGAAATTAAAATCAACTTATGTGGTACAAACAATAACGTTTTTGATTGCATTCAGTCTGATGATTTCCCCTTCTTGAAACTGTTCATTCAATTCATCATAACATGTATCATCTTTAGGTCATTGATCCAGTTGTATAAGTATGGTTCCACCAGTTGGAATCCGCAACATGTCATGAACAGACTGTGCTATTACTTTCAGTTCATTTCCTTCAACATATATGGCCATTCTTTCATAATCAAAATTTTGAAGAATATCATCTTTAGGGCATTGATCCAGTGGTATATCGGTCATTTTCATTCTTAACAGACTTCCAAAACCAATAGATCTTGCACACTCTTTCTGTTGTGTGCTCAACCCAAAGATTATAAAGAGTAATGACTCTGGTGAACATTTGTTTTTCATTGAATAAAATTCCTTTACCATAGGTTTTTCTTTTTTTCTTAATGTGTGACTCCTTTTTCTTTGGCATCTTTGATGGACGGCAACTTTCAAAATCAGATGTTGAATCATGTAGTTGTTGCTTTTCAGGAGTTTTTGTTTTTGCTGAACTTTTTTTTCTTTGATGCTTTGTTTTCTTTGTTGTGTTTCTTTCTTCTTTTTTCTGGTAAATGAAAACATATAATACTGAATAAGATGTAAGTATTCGTATATGAATAGTACAAATATATAAGATGGATATACAAGTTATTCACATATGAATAACTAATAACTATATATATATATAGATATATATATATATTATATATATAATATATATATATATAATAGTTATTAGTTCTTCATATGAATATCCAGATTGAATTATTCATATGTGAATAGTAAAAAAATATAACACGAACTTACAAGTTATTCATATAAAAATATCTAGATTGAAGTATTCATATGTGTATAATATAAAATTTTAATAGGGATATACAAGTTATTGATATATGAATATGATATGATATATATATATATATATATATATATATATATAATATATATATATATTATAGTAGGATCAAATGAGAGCGCCTAACAGGTTTAGAACGCGAGACAAATCTGAATCATTTATTATTTTATAATTAAATTAGATATACACACTTATTAATAAAATTAAATTCAAACAATTTTAATTAAAAAATTAGAAAAGGGTATTATTGTGATAACCTATCTTTTCTAACTTTTAATTCCTGAAATACCTCTTTCACTCTCCGATTATATTTACATTTTCTCTCCCATCTCTATATAGTTACAAATCATCGTACACCTAACCTTATTTTCAACTTTATGTCGCCCCTCTTCTTCTCTTCTCTCTTCCCATCGCCACCCCTTTTCTTTTTTCTATTATTGCCACTGTGAAAACTGGTAAACGAATTACTGTTCATCACCCCTCCAATCTCGTCACACTTCCTTCAAATTGCCACCATCACATCTACCTTATACCACTGCACGTACGTTATTGTTCACCATCTGCAACATCCCTAACATCACAACTGTTCTCCACATATGCAAAACGTCGACCGCCTTTTCTTCAACAGCCGACCACATACAAATCATTACCATAATCCTTATGTACATGTACAAACCACTACCATACATAAATGTGTTTATTTTCTTTGGCTCTCGGAGTTACTAAACTGAAAAGTCATAGGTGCATAAGACATACAACCTTAGAAACCTAGTTTGATTATTTTATTTTATTATGTCTTTACTCTCTTTTTGCTGCAGCTCAAGTTGATCCAACCTTATAATTTAATTTATATGTCTAGACTTTGAATTATAAGTGGTTTTTAGTTTTAATGATTGTTATGTTTTTCATTTAAATTCTATTCATTTATGATTATGTATATTCATTTTCTTCTATGTTTTAATCGTTAATGAATAAATTATACCTTTTGAGTTTAATCACAAATAAATAAAATCATGTTATAACTACATAATTTTTTAACTTAAAGATTGATGTTTTGAATATCATACATACTTATAAAGCTAGCATTTTTTCTTGAATCTCATGCATTTGAAACCCTCTTTTTTAACTTCCTCAAACCACATTCATTTGAAACCCCCCTTTTTTAACTAATGCACTCAAAAGTTTTCTTAATTATGATTTTACACTCAAAAGTTTTATAACTTATCTTATGTTTAATTAACATTTAGTGAAAAGTTTACTATAAAAAGATCAATCTTTTGGGAAGACATGCATACAAATCATATACAAATTTTAGAAAGAAAACAAACTTAAAGGTTTTTGTGTTGGTTTGAGGTCTTATGACCACTTTTGGAGATATGCTATTATATTGGAGCTTTTAATTTCTAAGTTTGTTATACTAATTCGTTTTTATAATTTCTTCGTTTTTGGATTATTGTAATACAGTCGTTGTATATTGTGGTTTAATCGTTAATATATTGATCATATGTTATATAGGGTGATGTCGAAAATATTTAATTAAATATTTTAAATATGTTTTGTTTTGTTTTGTAATTGTACCGTTTCAAAAAGATAATTAATTAAAACTCATACATATCTTATACTTTTCATCTCTCTACTATATATATATATATATATATATATATATATATATATATATATATAGGGGTTGAGATCGGTTTGAGAACTCAAAGTTTCCCGAGAACCCGAGAACTAAAAGTGGAGCGTTGGATCAAAAGTAATTCGTTAAGGACATGATCGTCATCTTACCAATCTCATTTAATGTTTAATTTTTTTGTGTTAATTAATATATTATTATAAATGTCTAAAAATTAACAAAATAACTCAAAATTTCGGATTTATTTTTTTTTTTTTTTTTAAAATAATTTTCGATTTTTTTTAAAAATTGAGATTTTTTAATTTTTTTCAAAAAACATGAATTTAAAAAAAAAATGAAAAAAATTATTTTTTAAAAAACTGCACTTTTTTTCGAAAAAAAAAAAGTGCATTTTTTCTAGAAAAAAACTGAATTTTTTTTTCATAAAAACTGCATTTTTTTTAGAAAAACTGAATTTAAAAAAAAAAACTGTGACTTTTATAAAAAAGTGTAATTTTTTTGAAAACTATTTTTTTTTAACAAAAAAATCAACGTTTTTAGGTGCATATATGCATATTTTTTCAAATGCATATATGCATATTTCTTATACTATAATATTCGTAAGTAAGTTATAAAAAATCTCATTTTTATTAATCAATCTATAAACATAATACAAGTATTTTATTCGATACAAAATAAAATATAAAAAAATGCAAAAATTCATAGTGTTATCATTTCTTCATATCAAGATTTCCATATTTTCTTCAATTTATCATTTTTCACCTCTTCAATATTTTCCAAAAATTCTTCAAAATCTACAGGAAAATAAAAAAAATTGATTAATGCAAGAACACGCACATGTATATATCATGTAAGATTCACATGTGATTATATAATGTGCTAATCATATGTGATTGTATCCTTTAAGATTTAAATGTGAAATTCACAAGAAAAATTTTAAAAATAATTAACGAAGAACACTTACACAAAATGCATGTGTGCATATAGACGTAATTCATATGTGATTCACTTGTGATTTACATGTGAATCACATGTAATTCACTTGTGATTTACATGTGAATCACATGTAATTGATATGTGATTCACTTGTGATTTACATGTGAATTACATGTGATTAATATGTGAATTACATGTGATTTACATGTGAATCACATGTAATTCATATGTGAATTACATGTGAATCACATGTAATTCATATGTGAATTACATGTGAATCAAATCTAATTCATATATAAATATATCATGTAAGATTCACATGTGAGTATATAATATGATATTCACATGTGATTGTATCTTTTAAGTCAATTACGGAATTCACATGTGAATCTTACAAATGTGAAATTCAAAAATATTGAAGATATTTGTGGAAAATGTCTTCAATATTTTCTACAAATTCTTCCAAATTTACAAGAAAATAAAAAAAAATGATTAATGCAAAACATTCACAAAAATGCATATGAATATATCATGTAAGATTCACATGTGATTATATAATGCAATATTCACATGTGATTATATCTTTTAAGATACATAAATGAAATTCACAAGAAAATTTTAAAAAATAATTAACAAAGAAAATTCACACAAAATGCATGTTGCATATAGACGTAATCAGTATGTGATTAATTTGTGATTCAAATGTGAATCACATGTGATTATATTGTGATTTACATGTGAATCACATGTAATTCATATGTGATTTACATGCGAATCACATGTAATTCATATGTGAATCACATGTGAATCACATGTGACTTACATGTGAATCGCATGTAATTCATATGTGATTCACGTGTGATTTACATGTGAATTACATGTGATTCATATGTGAATTACATGTCATTTACATGTGAATCACATTTAATTTATATGTGAATCACATGTGATTTGTATGTGAATCATATGTAATTCATATGTGATTCACGTGTGATTTACATGTGATTCATATGTGAATTACATGTGAATCACATGTAATTCATATGTGAATTACATGTGAATCACATGTGATTCATATGTGATTTACATGTGAATCGATACACAATTATAGTGTTGCTTCCAGTTAGTTACTAAAATATTATGTAAGAAAAAAAATCACCAATTAGAAATGTTCAAAATAAATATTATAGACATAATCCGTAAAGAAGGAAAAACATATGGGAAACTTTTGCAAAAGAGCTTTTATATTGAAAATTATTTTAACAAATGGTAGCAAAGATAATTGGGATGCCCCGTCAAGCAATAATACTTTGCTATCTAGAACCATAACACGCCACTGAATTTTATGGCTTAAGGAATTGTAGGATTTTAAAAGATATAAAAACACGTAATATATACAATAAAAAAGCTAATATATGATGCATAAAGGCTAAAAAAGGAGTAAAGGGCATACAAGAACTTTATAAGCAGTTAATGGGTTTGAATGAAGGTCTATCTTGCCCTTTTAAAAAGTATATCAAATATTCCCGATTGTATTTCTGCATAAGAAAATTGAATGTTGTTAAAATGAAATTCATTAGAGAAAATTACATGAATACAAAGACAAATTAAACGTTGTTTTAGTTGTTTTATTTTTTCTATTAATATCTACATGTATTAAGAAAAAAAAATGGCACATTTATTAAGAAAACCAATTAAACTTGATGATAAGAGGCAATAGAGAATTTACTTCTAAAACTTCAATTTCAATTGGAGATTAAGCAAACCTAATTCAACGATGACATGTACAGTGGAAATAACTCAATTTCTATCAATTTTCTATAAATTTCCTACTAATCAAAAGCTCAAAGCATTACCAACAAATAACATTATGCAGGACCTGCTACATGTAGCATACAGTTAAACAGACAAGTAGTACCTGGTAGACGAGAATTTGCTGATGAGCGAAGCATAAGAGTT